TCGAGTGTACCTCAAGGCAACACCATAGAGGTAACTCTAAGACCACTGGGTCCCGAAGAAAATCATTAATATTTTTGGCTCACTCAGTACCAGAACAACGGTCCCAAGCAGTCCCAAGCTATTTCACTCACCCCTGCATGTTCTGCATGAATCCACACACCCCTGATGTTATCTGTCAAACTTTCATAGCGAATCAAAACAAACATAGTGTAGTAATAGAATTTCAACTAGAATAGGGTACGTTAATCGTTTGCTTGGGACCAATAGGCTACTAAAGTGGTGAGCCAATTTAAATTCCTCGACTGTCTTCACTACCTTAGGTCGTTTAAGAAGGTGCTGCTTCATAATCGCCCAGTACTTCTCGATGGGGCGGAGCTCCGGAGTGTTGGGAGGGTTGAACATTTTCGGCACGAAATTGACCTTATTGTCCGCATACCATTTCAGCACGTCCTTGGAGTAGTGGCATGAGGCCAAATCCGGCCAGAAGATTGTTGGGACGTTGTGGGCCTTCAGGAGAGGAAGCAGCCGCTTCTGGAGGCACTCTTTTATGTACACCTGTCCGTTCATCGTGTCCTGGGTCACGAAAGGTGCACTCCGCTTCCCGCACGTGCAGATGGCTTGCCAAACCAGGAATTTCTTCGCAAATTTGGACATCTTCTGAGTGCGGACATGCTCCGGAACGCTGAACTTATCCTTGGCCGTGAAAAACAGGTTGCCGGGGATCTGTTTGAAGTCGGCCTTCACATATGTTTCGTCGTCCATGATGCAGCATTCAACTTTCGTCAGCATGTTGAGGTACAACTTCCTGGCACGGGTTTTGGCGGACTTGTTCTGCTTCTCGTCGCGATTAGGGGCCTTTTGTACCTTGAACGTTCGAAGCCCAGCCTTAGTTTTGGCCTTCTGGACAAAACTTCGGCTTAGGTGCAGCTTCTTAGCCACATCCCTAACGGAGGCGTTCGGATTTCGGTTGAAGGCCCCAACTACGCGGTTGTGATTTTTGGTGTTGTACGGAATACTTTTTCCTTCACTTCTGGGCTTCCGATCGGTGGTCAACCGTTCCTCGAACCGCTTAATCACTCGCGACACCGTGGAATTCGCGATTCCCAACGTTTTTTATCACGCACGAGCTGTTCTTTCGACTCCATTTCCGCGAGTTTTGATCACAGGACTTTAAAACTTGCAGGATGTAAATAATGCACTATGAACTAAATCCACCCAAATTTTCATTAAATTCTACCCAACGGTTAAAAAGTTAGAGCAATTTCATAGTGTGGCAATTTCATCGTGGACACCCTTTATATACTGTCCGAATATAGGATCAAATCCCATTTTTAAATTTATTTACCAGTCAAATTGCTTTTTGACGTAATCACCTTCAGATCAAAATAGTTTTCGATGTTACTTAAGTCACCCAATTTCTATGGAGATGCGTCTTGACTTAAGTAACAACGCTGAGAAACCCGTGAAAAGTGTACGTTCGTCATTTTGCTTTCTCATTATTAAAGTGAATAAATCGAACTGTTTGTTGCTAAGAAGATTTCGGTGGTCCTAAAAAGATGAATGGGCTGCACGTAAGGAGACGTAATTGATAATTTTCCCGAATATCCTGGTAAATACACTTTGACTTAAGTAACAATAGGGGCCACCAAACGACGTATAATAACTTTTGACTCAAAAACCAGTATTTTTTAGCATGAAAGCTAGCGATTTGCATTTGTATGATTAAAACCCTGCTAAATATGTTAAACATTGCTATCACTATGAGATTATATGTGTTTACTTGGAAATAGGAATAACTTTTCGGTCATCAAAACAAAACTTTATTTTTCTCGGATTGGTGCGAATGTTGCTTACGACATAATGAAAATTTGCTCTTGAGATGGTCCCGAAAAAACGTGCTCAACTTTTTGGCTCAACTCTGGTACTATCTTCGGTCCCAAGCTAATCGATTTACCCCTCGAAACGTAGGAAAATCCACTAACCCCTCATTTTATCTGTCAAACTTTCATAGCGAATCAAAACAAACATTGTGTAGTACTAGAATGGGGTACGTTAATCGTTTGTTTTAATTCGCTATGAAAGTTTGACTGTTTGTTGCTAAGAAGATTTCGGTGGTCCTAAAAAGATGAATGGGCTGCACGTAAGGAGACGTAATTGATAATTTTCCCGAATATCCTGGTAAATACACTTTGACTTAAGTAACAATAGGGGCCACCAAACGACGTATAATAACTTTTGACTCAAAAACCAGTATTTTTTAGCATGAAAGCTAGCGATTTGCATTTGTATGATTAAAACCCTGCTAAATATGTTAAACATTGCTATCACTATGAGATTATATGTGTTTACTTGGAAATAGGAATAACTTTTCGGTCATCAAAACAAAACTTTATTTTTCTCGGATTGGTGCGAATGTTGCTTACGACATAATGAAAATTTGCTCTTGAGATGGTCCCGAAAAAACGTGCTCAACTTTTTGGCTCAACTCTGGTACTATCTTCGGTCCCAAGCTAATCGATTTACCCCTCGAAACGTAGGAAAATCCACTAACCCCTCATTTTATCTGTCAAACTTTCATAGCGAATCAAAACAAACATTGTGTAGTACTAGAATGGGGTACGTTAATCGTTTGTTTTAATTCGCTATGAAAGTTTGACAGATAAAATGAGGGGTTAGTGGATTTTCTTATGTTTCGAGGGGTGAATCAATAAGCTTGGCACCGAAGATAGTACCAGAGCTGAGCCAAAAAGTTGAGCTCGTGTCTTCGGGACCTTCTGGTCTTAGAGTTACCTCTATGGTATTACCACAAACGAAGTGACAGACGGAGCGGCTCGAAAACTTTGGTGACTAACCTTCTATTGCAATTTTTCAGTGTACCACATGGCAACACCACTACTACTGAATTGTACCAACAATCAATACGAAACTAACGATTTTAAATTGGCTCACCACTTTAGTAGCCTATTGGTCCCAAGCAAACGATTAACGTACCCTATTCTAGTTGAAATTCTATTACTACACTATGTTTGTTTTGATTCGCTATGAAAGTTTGACAGATAACATCAAGGGTGTGTGGATTCATGCAGAACATGCAGGGGTGAGTGAAATAGCTTGGGACTGCTTGGGACCGTTGTTCTGGTACTGAGTGAGCCAAAAATAATAATGATTTTCTTCGGGACCCAGTGGTCTTAGAGTTACCTCTATGATTGTACCACATGGCAACACTACTATTGGATTGAACTAGCATTTTCACCAAATGTACTAGAATATTTTGGTTCTATCTCTTTCACTCTACTCAAAACTGAAATGCATAAAAAAATGACAAAATGATACGCACTCTTTGCACACTGTCAAAGAATCATTGTACACAAAATCAACTTTGTTCAAATCAAGACAAAAAAACTAACCCATCTGGTGGATGATGGCACAAGCTTCCAAGAAAATTCTATTACAGTGAACCACATTATTTTAATGGATTTCTTCGCCAGTAAGTCGTCTGTCACTTCGTTTGTGGTATTACTGTTGGTATTACTGTTGGTTCGACGCTGCTCCAAACCAGGGATGTGTGTGCAGAATAAACTTGATCGGGACGGCTACGCTAACAACTGTTTATTCTCTCCTCTTTCTCTCTACAAATTCTGATTCTACTGCTGCTGATGTTTGCTGGTGTTTGGTCGGAAAAGAACTCTTGTTTTGCACTTCTTCTTCTTCTTTCCTTTATTTAACGTCGGTCTCCGTTCCGCAATCTAGTGTGCCAATCACCGACGGACATCGATTGCCATCCATAGACGGCAATCGAATATGCACAGGAAGGCAGCTTCCACACCTGCGTAGGATATCGCACCCATTCAACACACATGGGCCGGGACCAACGGCTTTACTTCCCCCTTCCGAAGGAAGACGTGACCAGAGATTTTTATGCCTCAGAAACATCCCACCGACCTCGGCTGGGATTGAACCCAGACCCATTGGGGTGTTAGAAAGCAGTCACGCTTACCACTACACCACCGGCGCCGGCTCTTGTTTTGCACGGTGATGCATGCCTCTTTTAAAGTGGCGAGCATTGATGTGGTCGTCGCTGATTGGTGGATGTTGTAGCCTATTGATGGTCTCGTTTTTCGCTGCTTGTTGGTGGTGTTCGTATCAGTTGACTTTCGGCGGAGACGGAACACATATTATATTTTCGCACCGTTATCATCTCCAAGAACATCGAGGAAAAATTTCCACAGTATTGTTCTTAACTAGCTTCCAACCCATCGATCCTTTTCAGGAGCACAAATCACTGATAAAAGAGTTAACTAAAGAGTAAGAACTTGAATCCCAGACACATTTTCCAGGATTGGCTTGTACTACATGGACATAAACAGAGCACCTAAAAAAAAAGATCTCTCAAATTGCTTCCGAATTTCAACCTATCGAAATTTTTCACTGATAACGAGTTAAGAAATCAATTTAATATTTACTATACTATTAACACAGACAAACAGACATAACACATTGGATATTTCTCACTGTAAAACATCGTCGCTAAAACATTACCGCCATCTGTTGAGTACACTGTGGTGGGCACTACATTGAACAGATGGCGGTAGTGTGTAAACGTCAAATGCAAGGGAATTGACTATGCGCGCCACATGTGGCAGTACTACCAACTACAATACTTTTAAATTGTCCGTTAAATGCTTGTTCGATGAACAACTTGCGAGTGTTATGTCTGTTTGTCTGTGCTTTTACTGTGACATCAAAACTACCTTCCGTAATCCTACGTCAAATCTACGGTCGCGTCTTGAATACAACCTAATTTTTTTTTTCGGGGATATGGCGTTCGGGAAAACCCTGATGGTATAATGGAAATTCAAGAAAATTAACCATCCCACCCCAAAGGCACTTCACAGTTCTTTAGAGTGTTTGTAGCGATGATTTTTGGCATAGTTAATCATTATACACCTACGAGACATTGTGAGCTTATGCTTTCTTTTTGTTCTACTAACAACAAATTTCTGCGAACGTCGTCTTGCCATTTAATCCGAACAACATTTATTTGGCCTTTTTACCTTTCTTCTTAATCACCTTCCTTTTCGCAACTTCCTCTAGAACGCTTCCGTCGAGTTTTCGCTTGTTAGATGCGACTTTTTCGCTGAAATGATAACAACCATTAACACCCAGTGTTCCCGCTTCGGGTAGCCAAATTATAAAGCGATTTACCTAACAGTTTGCATTTTCGCAAACATATCTTCGTACTCTGAATCCACGTCTTCATCCTGGGGATTTTCCACTAGCACCAAGTCATCATCCTCATCCTCCTCCTGGGCAGCTACCTGGTCCTTATAATCGGTGCACAGAATCTGCGTTGGCTTCGACTTGACGTAGCATTGGTAGACCATGGCCGTTTTCTGAGTGTTGTGAATGCGAACGTATCTATCCAGACAAGATGTGAAAAGATACCCTCCATTCGGATCGACTCCGATGCTCGTGACGGTACCGGTGAAACCCTTGTATACGTGAATGTGATTCTTCATCTTGCGGGAATCGAAGGCACGGGCTCCAACGGTGGTCGTGCCAGCGTAAAGATAGCCATCGTGATTGGTCAAGCAAGTGAACGACAGCTGATCATCCGGTGGGGCGTATCCTTGCACTGGTCGGCGCTGTTCGCCACGCAGGTCATACACGCGCACGTACCCATGCCGTGAGCAGGATGCGATGGTATTTCTGTCCACAAATACCACATCATTCTCCCAAATTGGCTGTTCCAGTTCCAGTTCCTTTTTGACGTTTTTCGCCGTGAAGGTTACTTTTTGCGTTTCCAGGTCCCACACTTTGATAATTTGCTTGAGTGCCTTGCCGCCCGTTACCATCAGGTTTGAATCTTCCGGACAAATTCGTAGCTTGCACAGATTTTCACCGACCGAGAATTCCACCGATTCCGGATCCTTAACGATCTGGACTGTTCCATCGGCGGTTCCGGCAATGATACATCTTTAGACATAATAGAAACATCACAATCGTCGTAGGTAACCAGAAAAGAAATAATCTTACCCATTGGATCGTCCTAATCCGACGACTTCCCCACCCGCTTCAAAGCTGGAAGTGGTTTCCTCACTGTTGCAATCGAACACCTTGACAAAGTGATTGGCCCTGCCAAGCAAAATTTCCGTCTGCTCCTTGTTGCCAAACGCCAGGCAAGTTACTTTGGAAGTTTTGTCCAAAACGGTAACCTGTTGTAGATTGTTCTGCCGGTACGGCGCGTCCTGGAAGGGTTCCAGCTCTGCAATGAAAATCAAAACAACGCATTATTTGAGCGCACGTGTTCGGTTTAACAGGAAAATGAATCGAGGCTTACTTTTGAACGATCCGGTGTGCGTTCCGATGAATACCGTGTGCTTCCCGACGTAGGAGGAGCACTTGGCGTTGGAGGTTGAAAATTTCATGATTTTGAACTTGTTTTAACAGCGGAAATGCACTAAAATTAAAATTTAATTTTGAAATTCAGATCCCGCGACGCGAAACCGACAACATGCCGTTTATTCGTATCTTCGTAAACATCAGTGAGGAAGATGAGAGAAAAATGTCAAAACATTCCCGGAGAAGAGAAAGGGTACAGATCAACTGTGGCCGCGGAGAGCGATGCGATGCGTGCGCGAAGTGATCCCACGCAAGAAATGTCACTGCGTTTTGTCATCGTCGTTCTCGCATTTTGCGAGGTGCTTCTAGTTTGTAAACAATCCTAAGGACGGAAAATTTCATCAGTTTTTCCCGATTTTCATTCGGTTCGCTATGTCGGAGCCTAAAAAAAAGAGCAAAAAATCGGTAAGCATATGTTGCCGGTCGATATTCCGGTGGAATTACTAACATTGGTCTGATCATTTCCACAGAAAGAGGAAATAGCCAAAGAGTTCGATCTGCCCGAGCGCAAGAGTAAGATAGCAACCATTCTCAAGCAGGATGGCCAAGCGTATTGCATTTGCAGGTCGTCGGATTCCTCTCGGTTTATGATGTAAGATTCGTTGATTGTTGCATTGCATGTTCCGCTAATGTTTCAATTTTTCAGCGGTTGCGATGCCTGCGAAGAATGGTACCATGGGGATTGTATCAACGTATCGGAAAAGGAAGCCAAACACATCAAGCAATACTACTGCCAGCGTTGTAAAGAGGAAGATCCTTCACTGCAAACCGTGTTCCGATTGGTACCGGCACAAGTTGCTCCGCCCAATCCGGAAGAGAAGAAAAAGAAACAGAAGGAGAAAGGCGCGAGTAAATCCGATAAGCGATGCGGTCAGTGTGAAGGTTGCAAAACTCCCAGCTGCGGTCATTGCGATGCTTGTCTGGGGTATCAGGATGGGGGACGGAAACAACGCTGTGAGATGCGGATGTGTACCAATACGGTCAGCAGGAAGAAGGATCGGGAACTGAAGACCGCGTCAAGGACGAAAAAGAGGAAGCGATCACTCAGTCCGGAAGTGCTCGTCAATCCTGCACTTGAAGGCGATCGCCAGTGTTACGGTCCGGGATGTTTTATGACAGCGCGATCGCAATCCAAGTTCTGTTCAGACACATGTGGAATGAAACTAGCGACCACCAGAATCTATCAGGTGCTTCCACAGCGGATCCAAGAATGGTCACTGAGCCCGGCAATATGTGAGGAGCAAAACAAGAAAGCTTTGGAAGCAATCCGTACCAAACAGACGATCGTGAGAGCTACCCTGGCCGAGTTGGATAAACGACATGCAGAGTTGGATCTGTTGGTGGATCGCGCCAAAAGATGTACACTCGATCCGGATGCCTTGGACAGCAACGACGTGGAGGATGAAATGTCCATGTATTGCATTACTTGTGGGCATGAGATCCATTCCAAAACTGCGATAAGGCACATGGAAAAATGTTTCAACAAATACGAAAGTCAGGCCAGCTTCGGCAGTATCTTCAAAACTAGAATCGAGGGGAATTCGATGTTTTGCGATTTCTTCAACCCCGCCAGTCAAACATACTGCAAACGGTTAAGGGTCCTCTGTCCGGAACACTGTAAAGATCCGAAGATCAACGACACGGATGTGTGCGGGTGTCCTCTTGTGAGGAACGTTTTTCAGCTGACGGGAGAGTTCTGCCGGTGGGTAAACTAACGGATCAACAATTCCTGATCTTAGATTCTAACTTTGTTCCGATTCGCAGGGCTCCGAAGAAATCGTGCTTCAAGCACTACGTGTGGGAAAAGATACGCCGGGCGGAAATTGACTTGGAACGCGTACGTCAATGGCTCAAAATGGACGAACTAGTCGAACAGGAGCGTCAGGTTCGCCAGGCCATGGCATCCCGTGCCGGTGTGCTGGGATTGATGCTTCATTCGACCTACAACCACGAGATTATGGAAAAACTCTGCAGCGGAAAGCTTTAATGAAATGTCTTAACAGAAAACTTTCTTTCATTTTCATCTCATCTTAAAAATTCTGTTTTCAATATTTTTCCAAATATACACCCCTATTCCCGTTTTCGATCGAAACATTCATTCCATATTTAAAAAAAAAAAGCATTTGTTTGGAAAATGAATCGATTTAAAGCGGCAATAGGTATGATAGGCTTTACTTCTACTGTTGAGAATAGCGACGCACCACGCATTGCTGCCAACTTGCAAGAAAAACAAAATCTTCATATAGGTTATACTAGGTATTTCACATTTTTTCCGCGTGGAAGAACATTTTCGATTTACTGTTTCTTCCGAACTCGTTCAATCTATACATTGTATCATTATTACAATAAATATATTCTTATTCTACACTGAGAAACGAGGTTTGATGTCACGTCGCATTGAAAATAGGTTCCACTACCTCCTCCAACTTCGTGTCCGTGTGGTTATGGATCAGTTTGAACAGTCCCGTTCCGATGGCGGCCGGCATTCCAAGAATGATTCGTTCCGAAACCCCATCAATCGAGTCCGTTTGACCGTAGTACGCCGCATCGAACAAATGGTCAGCCGTTTTCTCAAACTGCAAAAAAAAAAAAACAACCATGAATTTCGCTAAGCCAATCAAACAGAAAACCCATCTCACCGAAGCCAAATTGAACACCGACTCTCGCATCTTGGCCAATCCATGCCGCGTAATACCAAGCACTTCGCCCCTCGAAGTCATCTGACTGGCCAGCAGCATAATGTGTCGATGATCGACGCTCATGCCGTGCCCCTCCATCACGTCCGTAATCTCGTTCATGATCGTTGTCCGGGCAGCTTCGATTCCAAGCGTGGTATACACCTCCAGGATGTTGTTGCTCTTAGTCTTGGCTCCCACAACCCCATAGGTAGCCATGACGTCCCTCAAGCCGTAACCTTCAACGCACAGTTTGAACGTTGGTGGACCCCGGGAATCGTCCACGGCTATAACGGCACGCGAGACCTGGGCAAGGCCAGCGACTACCACGTTCGGAATGGCAGTCAGCAATCGTTGCAGTTCGGCATTCAGCGCGTGACTGTGCTTCGATGGGTCCGGCCGGATGATGATCAGTGACGGACCGTAAACTTCGACATTCTCCTGCTTGAGTTTCAGCTTGGAGGTGCAGATCCTGCAATTGAAGACGATGAAGAATTCTATTAGATTTATACGAAACCAAAACCTTTGTTTTATCTAGTTCATTCGCCTAAGTCATTTAAGTAGGTTCAATGTCTTTAAAAGACTCGACGGATCCTAATTACATGAATTTTTAATTATTACAAAAATTGATTAATGAGAAAAAATGTTTCTTCATATAGCTTTTGCCTTCTTCGACGCTTTGAACAGTGGGACAAAATTCTAAAATTTTATCGTGAGAAAAAATGTAAATAATTTATCATAAAATAAAATTTGTAGAACATCTATGCAATTTCGATTGAGAATTTTGTAATAATGCAATGGTACCTTTAGCTGAATTGCAAATTTATGAAAATTATGGTTAAACAATTTCAATTTGCGAATGTCAGGAAAGGCTGAGAACCGTTATACCATAGAGGTAACTCTAAGACCACTGGGTCCCGAAGAAAATCATTATTATTTTTGGCTCACTCAGTACCAGAACAACGGTCCCAAGCAGTCCCAAGCTATTTCACTCACCCCTGCATGTTCTGCATGAATCCACACACCCCTGATGTTATCTGTCAAACTTTCATAGCGAATCAAAACAAACATAGTGTAGTAATAGAATTTCAACTAGAATAGGGTACGTTAATCGTTTGCTTGGGACCAATAGGCTACTAAAGTGGTGAGCCAATTTAAAATCGTTAGTTTCGTATTGATTGTTGGTTATACCCCGGACAGACTATGGCTAATATCATGTAATATAGTCTGACTTGCAATGAGCACCCATATATAGGATTTCCAGTGAAAACTAGATGTATGAGTGCTCATTGCAAGCCAGCCTATATTACATGATATAAGCCATAGTCTGTCCGGGGTATTAGCAACAATCAATACAAAACTAACGATTTTAAATTGGCTCACCACTTTAGTAGCCTATTGGTCCCAAGCAAACGATTAACGTACCCTATTCTAGTTGAAATTCTATTATTACACTATGTTTGTTTTGATTCGCTATGAAAGTTTGACAGATAACATCAGGGGTGTGTGGATTCATGCAGAACATGCAGGGGTGAGAGAAATAGCTTGGGACTGCTTGGGACCGTTGTTCTGGTACTGAGTGAGCCAAAAATAATAATGTTTTTCTTCGGGACCCAGTGGTCTTAGAGTTACCTCTATGGTATTAGTGTATAATCTTAAACATTTACTAAGAGCAACCGCACCAATGAGTAAATAAGGCACATTTAGAGCAACCGTAACGGTCGTTGTCATTTGCGCGACTATTTTAACAACGCACAGCGCTCTCATTTTAGTTTAGTCACTCTTCTCCACACCGGTCGCTGCTATCGCGGTTATCAATTTACTCGCCGTAGTCCGTACCGGTAGTGAGCATTTTGACATTTCTACGAATAGCAACCTTTCTCCCGCGCTGCTAAATTTGGTAACGCGCTTCTCACCGAGAAGCCGACTGCTATTTTAGTTACTCGTATGGCAACCCCCGATACGGTAGCTGCGCTATGATGAGGACTGCTAAAATGAGTTTAGCAGCGTACCTTTACGGTTGCTCTTACCAACCTCTTCCACCATGCTTGCATAGGCAAGTACCTCTGTGATTTAAGTTTATCGTTGCGTGATGAGTTCTTCCATACTCAGGTTATTCTGACCCCGGTCCAAAGCGAATTTCGGTGATGCCCTCTGAAAATCTATTGAGCCAAATTACTTCTCTGCCAGGACGCAACGTAGAAAGCATTTTGAGAGTCCCCAGTTCCTCTAAATCAGTCGCGCCTATTGCAGCCAGCGTTCATCCAAGTCGTCCTGGCCCTGAGTTTAGATGTGGATTGAGGGTCTCCCAGCTTGCTATATTAGGCAAGTACACACTTACTAGCGAACTTTCACTGCCTGATGATGATCATAATTCCAGTGCCTTCAACTCACCTCAAACATTTGCCAGTCGGCAACATGGAGCCACCACAGTCAACTGCACTCCGGGACGCATTCTTGCCGTCCGCCCTGAGGAAGCCCCTATTCCACTCATCGCAGTCGAGCCTCTCCTGCCAGCAACGAGCAGTCGTCCCGGCCCTGCGTTTGAGATGGGAGAAGGGGTCTTCCACATTCCTGTTATTGGCAAGTATGATCAACCGACGAATATATTATCGCCTGAAAGTATCTTGGTTTCCAGCGGCCCTACTCGAACATCCTTCCTCCGTCAAGTGACATCTACCAGCTCCCAAATGCAACTACACGCTGAACCTTCCATTGTTCCCGAACAGCGGAGGTCGGACATAACGATTTACTATCAGAACGTTGGCGGTATGAACGGCCTCGTGGAAGATTATCATCTGGCCGTCATGGATCACTGCTACGACATTTTAGTTTTGACCGAAACATGGCTCAATAATTGAACCATTTCAAACTATGTCTTTGGTGCTGGCTACGAAATATTTCGCTGCGATCGAAACACGAATAATAGTAGGAAAACTACTGGGGGAGGCGTCCTTATCGCAGTTAATTCCAAGCTGAAAGCGGCTAAAATCGCACCCGAAATCCTTCTGAAATCGTAAATGAGCAACGCAGCCCTAATAAACGAGCACCATACATGAACGATACCACAAATCGTGCCACCGTACCACATATTGTTGGGATGATAACCCGAATAGGTTGTTAGGCACTCTTTATGGTTATCGTTTATGCGGGAGGGAAGTCGGCTTACCCTCTTCCATGATTTTTAATGGTGAAACTGCTGGAAATCAACAAGACATTTGCAACCTGTTCTCAGCCAAATTTGCTAGTGTGTTTAAAGCCGAGCAACTCTCGCTAATATCATTACTTCCGCGGCCAGTAATGTTCCTTTGATCAACCAAACGCTCAGCATGGTCGAAGCCACTTCAGATACGAATTTTAGAGCAGCATCTAAACATAAGACTTCAACTAAGGCTGGACCCGATGGTGTTCCGTCGATTATTCTTAAAAAAAACATCACTTGTCTTTTAGATCCACTGCGCCGCATATTCCAGCTCTCTCTTTCCAGCGGCATCTTTCCGTCTTGCTGGAAGACTGCGGATATGTTTCCTGTTCATAAAAAGGGAAGCAATCACGTCACTGAGTGCTGTATCAGAACTTTTTGAATTGTTTGTCATAGAGTCCCTAAATGCGCATTGTAAGCAATATCTAAGTATAAATCAACACGGATTCATAACTGGGCGTTCCAGAACTACGAACCTGCTGTGCCTAACGTCTTACATCACAGACAATTTGATTGCTCGGACCCAGACAGACGTTATTTACACAGATCTTACGGCAGCCTTTGATAATCTGAACCACGAAATAGCGATCGCTAAGCTTGATAGACTAGGGATCGGTGGAAATCGTTTGAAATGGTTTCGTTCTACCTCCGGAGCGCTAACTGACAGTAACTTTGGGTACTTGTCGTTCAGCAAGCTTCTGCGCAAAGTCCGATATACCTCAGGGTAGTCATCTGGGACCATTGGTATTTCTCCTCTACTTCGACGACGTTCACCATGTTATCACAGAGCAACGATTATCGTTTGCAGACGATCTGAAAGTTTTTCTGCGCATCCGCTCCCTCGCCAACTGCCGTTCTCTCCAAAATCAGATTGACATCTTTGCTGACTGGTGTAGTCTAAACCGACTGGTGGTCAACCCAGCTAAGTGTACAGTTATTACTTTCTCACGCAAGAAACAACCGATTATTTTCAACTACAAACTACTAGGCACTATGGCTCTTCTTTCATCGAACAACTCCTCACCGGGAAGCGATATGATTAAATTCAATCTTCTGAAAAATCTCCCAGATATCGCTAAAAGACGCTTGCTAGATTTATTCAATTCCTTGCTAGAAAACAACATTGTACCGCCTGAATGGAGACAGGTCAAAGTAATAGCCATTAAAAAACCTGGCAAATCAGCGTCTGACCATAACTCATACCGTCCGATTGCTATGCTTTCGTGCATTAGGAAATTGTTGGAGAAAATGATCCTTCGGAGACTCGATCACTGGGTCGAATCAAATAACTTGCTATCAAATACACAGTTTGGGTTCCGCAAGAGCAAAGGAACAAACGATTGTCTAGCGCTGCTTTCCACAGATATTCAACTGGCCTTTGCGCACAAGGAGCAATTGGCTTCAGTATTCTTGGACATTAAGGGGGCTTTTGATTCAGTTTCCATTGAAATTCTGTCAGACAATCTGCACAGATGTGGACTTCCTGGAATATTAAATAATTTCTTGTACAATTTGTTGTCAGAAAAGCAAATGAACTTTTCTCTTGGAAAACTGACAACTTCCAGAATTAGTTACATGGGCCTGCCCCAAGGCTCATGTCTCAGCCCTCTTCTTTATAACTTTTATGTCAAAGATATCGACAACTGTTTGGCAGAACAATGCACGCTAAGACAACTTGCAGATGACGGAGTGGTTTCCGTAAGAGGTCCACATGCCGTGGACTTGCAAGGACCATTGCAAAATTCCTTAGATAACTTGTCTTCTTAGGCTATGAATCTAGGGATCGAATTCTCGCCGCAGAAAACTGAACTGGTAGTGTTTACTCGAAAGCGGTACCCAGCCCAAATGCAGCTTAATCTTTTGGGCAGAAACATTACCCAATCATTGTCTTTCAAGTACCTTGGGGTCTGGTTTGATTCAAAGTGCACTTGGAATACCCATATTACGTATTTGAAGCAAAAATGTCAGCAGAGGATCAACTTTCTCCGTTCAATTTGCGGCACATGGTGGGGTGCTCATCCGGGAGACCTCATAACGCTTTATAAAACAACAATTCTCTCTGTTCTAGAGTACGGCTCTTTCTGCTTTCTCTCGGCAAGAAAAAGTCACCTAATAAAATTGGAACGAATTCAATATCGTTGTCTGCGTATTGCTCTAGGCTGTATGCACTCAACGCATAACATGAGTCTCGAGGTTCTGGCAGGAGTAACACCCCTCCAGAACCGTTTCTGGGAGCTCTCTCTCAGAATACTAATCAAATGCGGAGTGAC